TTTAGTTGTCTAGTTGTGTTGTTATTTAATGGTAATTATATAGTTATAAAGTAAACGTGCTAGTCCTCTTGCTTTTATAATTTTGTTGTATCGATTTTTATTTCCTATTAAAATTGAGATCTATGGAAAAGAGTTTTTTTGTAGATTATACTTTTTTTTAATTGTCATATGATATTTTTTTTTACTATTTTTTAAAATATAATTGGTATTAACGACATGGTAACATATTATAAATTGAGCTAATCTTATTGATTTATCGTATTTTGATCTAGCGTATTTTGATTAAAATTTATACTTTATTCTATTTTAATTAACTTTAAATTAAATGAGAACCAATTTATGAACCCTGACTTGTTTTTCTTATTTTATAGTGCATTTATATACTAATTTAATACTTATTTTCATTTTGCTATTTGAATTTATATCATAAAAGTGCATTATCTATTTCCAACCATAAATATTCATGGATCTGACCTCTAGCTGTGGTAGATAATAATGATCAATAGTATTAAATGTTAACCAATGAAGAATTTAAATTCCCATCTATAGTCAAGCTATAACTTAAGCTGCAATCCTAATATACAGCCCAATCGGCTTCTATACATTAACCTTGAATGTTATACTTATTGTATGATTGAGATTGGTAACTGTGTAATATTTTTATTAATTAAATTTTTTTTTTCAAATAACTATAATGTTGCTATAATTACAAAGTGTCTATACGCTTTAAACTTTTATTTTCACATTATAATCTCTGAGCGACTTTAAAAAATATTATATGATGAACTTAAAAATTTTCCTTAAACTAATCTAAAATTTTTAATATTAAAATATAATATGGGTTTTAGACTTAAATTTCGGGTTTCTTATTTTGAATTAAATTAGCAACGTATTAATTTTGTAATCATTAATATATAAATCTTATTTATTTTTATTTGCAAGCTTATTTAATATAGTAAATATAATATATGGGATCTTTGCTAGGAAAATCACCCTTCGGGATTTTCCGATCGGGCTAATTCAGAAAGGTTTGGACCAGAATGCCAGTTCTTATTCATATGTAAATCATCTTTTGCTATATTTATTCGATAGTTTATTAAATAAACTGTCAAATCAGTAAAGTAAAAAGATGTTTACATATGAATAAGAACCGACATTCTAGTCTAAAATTTTCTAAATTAGCCCAATCGGAAAATCCCGAAGGGTGATTTTCCTAGCAAAGATTCCATATATCATCAAAAAAAGGTTTTTATTTTATCTCCAGATATTGCTTTTTTCATTTTCTGATTTCGAAATTTCAAACCAATAATATAACTTTTCAAACTCCCGCTTAGAGCGATTTTCACATTATATTTTACACTGCCTCTTTGATTAAATAATTAAAAAGGCTGTGTATATTGTTATATTATATAATCATTGTAAGAACTCTATGTAGTGGCTTGACCTATATAATGTGGCTTGAATAATGCCTTATTTGGTTATTTCATATTTATCATATTTTCAAATTTTTAACCTCTTAGTTATTTTAGCTTTCTCAATTCTAAGAGTTTTTCGGGTTTTTTTTTAATATTTTAAAATCTCAATTCTTACTATTTACCTGTTGATTTAATCAATAAGGCTTATGCATCGTTTCATTTATCCATTTTTTCCTTATAGGCAGATATTCATATGATTGGCTGTTTAAATCAATTTAATTTTACATTATTTATAAGTTTAAAGTACTTTTTAAAAAAAGAAAACCACGAAGAATAAATATAAAAATAAGTATATAGCATTTATAGCACTCCACTATTAAAAATAATTAAATTTCTTTTTTGTTTTAGAGAAATTAGCATGGTGATAACCTAATTTTAAGAATTCGTTATTATGCTAACTTCTCTAAAACAAAAAATAATTTTGATTATTTTAATAGTGGAGTTCTACAACCCTAATAAAACTTTCTATATACTTCTTTTTTGTTTATTCTTCGTGGTTTTCTTTTTTTAAAAAGTACTTTAAACTGTATAAATAATGTAAAATTAAATTGATTTAAACAGCCAATCATACGAATATTTGCCTATGAACTTTTTCCTGATGCTTCTTCCTGTGCCTTCGTTCGCCTTTTTATTTATTTTTACTAACTTAATTCAATTCGTTATGAATAATAAGTGTTGAATCTAAGGTTTAAAGATATATTACATCTTGTTTTTTTTATTATCTTTGCTTTTTATCTTCATTGTCTTATTCGTTTACCTAAAATTTTGTATAAATATACTGTGAAGTCAATGTAAAATTGGATAATTTGTATGTGAATTTCTAAAAAGCCCATTTTGTAGTTTAGAGCATTATTATGTTTTATCACTCTGTTATAAAGACCCGACATTCTGATTATTTAATCGTTATTATAATTCTTATTTATTTTTTTATTTTTTTATTGCTTTATACTTTCTATATAACCGCAATTTTATATATATACAATCTTCTATAAATATATCTCTATCTTTTTAAAATGCCATCACATGTGACATTAATTGCTATTATTGTCACTAAAGAAGATTCTAATTCACTTGCTCAAGGCTTTGCTAAATATCATACTGATAAAGATGATTTTAAAATTGTCTGTTAGAAATACTTTTATCCCTATGAGAAACCCTATACTGAATTTTCTGTAGGGGATATTGTGATGTTTGCAGGGAAGTTTATAGTTGAAAATTTAGAGCAATATATTATTGCTTCTAATATTAGTGTCATCACAATTAGTGGTCCAAATCAAGAATTTGAAGCAGATGAAATCCCACTTAGTGCACCACATTGTATGTTTCTTGTTACAGTCAAAAGTGATCCAAAGCCAATTAGAGATTCTACTTACTTTGATACAGAATGCTTTCAATATAATCCATTTACTAGTTCTAAACATGTTCTTATAAAGTTAAGAATAATTTATCCTACAAATGCACTTCGATTTCATTATGTACATACTAATAATAGTATTAAACCAAGTAGAACATTTCTTATATCAGGTTTTGTTAGGCGTATAAGTCCTGAAGCAATTGCAATAGAGGCAACAGATATTGATTTCATGTATTTATCTAATAATACTGTTATTAATAATAATATACAAGGTATTGCTTCAGTAACTACTTCTGATCATCAGTCAGTTTTTGATGATATGGTTGATAAGATTGAAACTACTATCTCACAAGTACAAAATAAAGGTAGCATATTAACTACAGGATCTCATAACACTACTTCTGTTCATAATTTAAAAGAATCTGTTGCATCATCTTCAAGCTTAGCTTCTACTAATACTGATTCAACTCGATCTAAAAAGGGTAAAAAGAGATTATCTGATTTGGCATTAAATAGTCTTGGCTTAAATGTTGTTGAACAAGAAAATAATAATGAAAAGGAAAATAAGGATCTTGATAATGAAAATGAAGACTTAGAAGATCAAATTATTGAAGAAAAACTAAAAAAAAGAAGAAAGGGTATAAGGAGAAAATAATAGCTTAAAATAGTTATATTAAATATATTTTTATTTGATTTTTTTTACACATTTTTTTATTTTTGTTATTATTATTATATATTTTATTTTCATTTTTGTATTGTCTTGTAAGTTTATAAATATTGTTATTTTTAAATATTTTGTCTGTTTCTTAACCCTAACCTATATGATATGTATATAATTCTTTCTCTCTAAATGCAATTTTTTATAAATACTTAAATATGCACTTTGAGATTGTTAATTTTATAATAAGTTTAATAGTGTATCAGGTTTGCAAATGTGCTAATTTTATGAATTGCATAATGTAATAACTATACTGTACTTATAAACAAAATTCATTGTGAAATATAAATAAAAATTAAGACTATATCCTAACTCTTAAATAAATAAAATGTGCTTATTCTAATTAATTAATATAATATATATATTGAAGTCTAAATTGATCGTGTATATATGAGCTAGGTGCTGAGAAAAGGGATGAAATTGATAATTTTTTCAAAGGATATTTTTTATATAAATCAATTTAGAATAAAATTAGAATCTTTTTCACTTAAGACACAAAAGTAATTGTATTAATAAAATTTTGTAGTATAGCTTTTTAAAGTTTGCATTTTCTTATGACTTATTATAAGATTTACCTCATAAAAATTGATTTTTTGAAGATCTTTTTTTTGTCAATTTCGTCACTTTTCTCAGCAATTAGCCCATATAGTTCACATTATTTGTTAATTTTGTCCCTTTTCTCAGCAATTAGCCCATATAGTTCATATTATTTTTTAATTTATATTGTTTTAAAATAAACACATTATTTATAAATTTAAAAATGATATGTTTTATTTTACAATTGGTATAATCAGTATAATTTTACAAAATATAAAATTTACAAATAAAATATACAATATATTTTACTGTAATATACTTAAATATGTATTTTTTATTTTCTTCTTATAATTAAGTGTGGCTTTAAATATCGAAACAATTGTTATATAGCTTAACCTTTTTTTTCTATTGTTATCATTCTTGAGGAGTGACTGTTTCTTAGCTTTAAAGAGTGGCTTTATATTTAGGTACAATTATATGGCTTAGTCATTGTTTTTATCTTTTTCTTTATCTTTACAGTGTGGCTTTATAACTTAATTTAATAATTGGTTTAATTTGTTAGCTTTTTTCAAACTTAATTAAACCTTTTTGTTTGTTTATCTTCATAATGCATTTCATTTCTTCTATTTGGTAATATTACTAAATTTAATACAGTATTAAACTTAAGCTTTCTCAGACATAAGCATTCAAAATTAACTTTTTTTAATTTTTATCTCTTTCCATATATATAATGATATTATATTTAATGAATAAGTTATAAATAACTATAATTACTTTAGTTTATTTTCTTGTATTAATTTTATTATCCATTAATTAATATAATATTGCATTCAAAAAACAAATTTATTAAATTATATTCTTACCATTTATTTACTATGTCATTTCTGATAATTCAATTAAATATTGGAAACTTAAATGATAGTAATCTTTATAATGAACTAAATATTGATTTTCTATCAAGCCATCAAGTTTGATTAAATATTAATATAAATCATCCATAAGCTTCTAATTTATTATCAGTTATGCAACAGCATTTGAACTTTAACTCTTTTCCTCTATGACAACTTCAGATTCTCTAAATCATCTTAATGATCGATTTCATAATAAAATTCTATATATATTTTCATGTATTCTCTGTTCACACTATTCAATTCTTATATTTCCACCACAAACAAAATGGATTGCACGGGATGTTAATCTAATCTATAGACTTTGTCAATCTTTTCTACACTTATCATTTACTGAACATCCTAATAAAGAAGATTATATTGCAGTATGTGTTTCATGTATATCTGTTGTTAAATAATATAATGCTCCTGTATTAGCATAAATTTCAGAAGTACTAGCAAATGTTCCAATGTACCATCGACGATGACTTTCTTCTGTTCATTTAAGTTGTTCTCTTGGATGTGCTAAAAATGCAAACCATTTTACACATTATCGTAATCTTACAGATTCATTTGGTTTATCAAAAAATATTCATGCTCTACAACTTTACTCTGGAACATTAGGTGCAATATTAGATAATTCATCTGAAAATAACTGCTTTCATCCATCTTTAGTATATGCTGCTAATTGGCTAAAAGCTAATAACTATCTCTTTAGACAGTTTAATCAATTATATTTTTCAACTAATAATATTGTACACCTACAGTCTAATTTTCTAACATTTTTTTTTTCTTTTATACCCTAGTACTATTGCTAGGGGCACGTGTAATGCTCATTTATTAAAGTCAATTTATTAGTGTCTTTACATTACATTACATTACATATATTAGAGGTCTTCTTAGCTAAACTATACCTCCCTCCCATCATCCATTTTTCCCGACTGACTCCAGCAGGTCCACCATGCCGGT